GTCAACTAGATACACCTGGCTATGGGTGAAGCAAACCCTATCAATCAAGTCAAAGCCTGCTAACACCTCCATGATGTCATAAGCATTTTGTATGAGAATGTGGGATTTTGTGAACTACTTTCCCTTTGCCCATCTGCCTTCCTGCCTCCCGGAACTCTACCTATCTAGAGAGTGACTCCATATTGGCCAGCAGTTCCTGAGAGCTGCCAGTGCCCTGAAATGTTTTACCCAACCATAGATCCATGCAACTCTGCACACACTGGCCTGTGATGTTTTTGTTTCCTGGTTCACAATTCTGGGTCACTGGCATTTGGCTATGTGAGTCTAAAGAGGAACTTATGAAGTAGTATCAGACTTATGGACTTGAGGTGGACCAGGCTGGCATGCCTTCTTGATATGTAATTACTTCTTGATATAAAGCTCTTGCTTACACATAGATGAGTGTCACTGGATTTATTTCTCTAGACAGCCCAGCCTAACACAGTGCCTTTGGGTAAAAGGATTCCTTACAGTGGGGCACCTCCAAGCAATTAATTGGGGAGCTAAGTTTGCTGACCCCACTGAGCTAAACCTGAAAGTCTTAAAGCTGAGGCTTATGGAGAAATAGCAAAGCTTTGGGGTGCATTTATGGGCAGCACTGAAAGAGTTCTGTAGTATTGCTTAAGCAGGGCAGAGCCAAGGGACCACATGGCTGAGTGGCAAAGGGAACAAACAGTAGGCACAGTTAAGAAGATGTTGTCCTGACTAGAAAAACTGTATCCTAAGCATTTCTCATCTTGAACTTTAACCTTTTAACTTTCCTACTACACCTTATAATTGTGAGTTCTGTATGGCCATGGAGAAGACGTTTAACTCAGCCAGCAGAAAAGAGAGTGCCATGTCAGAAAGACTAATGTCAGAACTAGAAGGCTAAAGGGTGGAAGCCTATCTGTTACCTGCATCACAGGAATTGGCCTTGGGCTGATCTTGAGTTTGATTCTTCTTCCCCCATGAAGTTAAAGAAGGTCAGATACATTCCCCATACAATTTTTACAAATATCTTGAGAATTTGTATCTGCAGAAACTGGCAAAATTTGTGTGTTGCCTATATTTCAAGACTGCTAGGAAAATGAAATATAAAATTGGAATGGGATGAATTTATTATGGTGAATTTATGTGAGATTTCAGAACTAAGGTTTTAGTTCCAGCAACTGGAATTGGTTCTAATAGTTGGCTTGTTTGGCTGACTTAAATATAGCTTCAATTGTCATTAATATTCCACAAGGCTAAAATGCTAGGATGTCTCTGACAAAATGTTCAGGAAGGAATCCGGGAGTTGAAGAAAATGGAAATATCAGAGTGGCGTTTTTTATGTACAACTTACTCAAGTACTCCACAGTTAGGGCCTTTCACAAGTTCCAGATGGTGTTCTTCTTCAGGACATTAAGAAATTATTTGATGGGTACTAAAAGCATCTTTGAAAAACTCTGTGGTGCCTTTTTCCTGTGGCTTAAAGGTATGCTACCACTGAAATTGTCTCTTGTTTTTAATAGGAAAATATAGAAATGCCGACTGTCAAGGATTAAATGGAACATCACAAATTAGGTACATGAAATTATCATAAAGGTCAGCAGGAACAAAGTAACAGAGAGCTTTGGCCCACAGGGGTTTCTGGAAGTGGCTACCTAGTCATATTTCCAATGAAACTGGATGAAAAGGCTTCATATATATAAATGAAAATAAATTTTAAGTACAAAGAATAAATGCTTGATTTGATTTTTTTCCAAATAGGAACTTATTCTACTGAGAAATGCCATTCCCATTCCCAGGGATACTCCAAATGATCTAAACCAGGTGGTACCAATGACTCGGGGGCAGGAGGATGTCACTGGAATAATCCATGGGGGCTACAAAACAGATGCATACACTTTATCCTAGATTATGGACTGTGGTACTTAGTTTTTATGTCAACTTGACCCTGTGCAAATATGTAGCAATGGAATCTAGCCTATCAATCAGGTCACTGCCTGATGATGCCTCCTTGCAGGTGTACCCTTTTCTATAGGAAAGATAATAATACATTATCTTTCTCTTGCCCCTTCCTTTTCCTGCTTTCTGGGACTTTGTGTCTGTTTTCAGGAGTGTCCCCACGTAGGATGTGGACCTGGAGAGCTGTCTAAGCTTTGCCATGTGTCCACTGACCTTGGATCCATGTAACTCAGCCTGTGATCACCCTTCTTACTGCTCCACCTTTCTGCATCATTGACCTGAAATTATGTGAGTTTGAAGAAGTCGCTGGCTAGCATCGGCACCTATGGACATGAGTTGGACTGGGCTATGGGATGCCTTCATGATATAAAATTACTTCTTGATATAAAGTTCTTTCTTATATGTGTGTCACTGATCTTATTTCTCTAGATAACCCAGCCAAATATATGGGATATTGTACAAAAACTTTTAATTGCCAGGGATGTGTTGAGTCATTTTTTTTTCCTGAAAAGTGAGGAAGTAGACCAAATATGTTTGGGAAACTGTGATGTTAGACCTTCTACAAGTGGAGTTATAACTGCAACTGACAAAATGCTAATGTCATCCATTCTTTATAGACATGTATATCTTTGTGTGTATGTGCATTAAACAATTCTATAAATTTACATGTTTATTCCCAAACCCCCCAAATGAATAAAGGTAAGATTTGTAAAAGTATACTAAAATAAAAACCCATTGCCTTCAGAAAGACCATATAGAACAGAGTAGAACTGCCCTCATGTGGTTCTAAGGCTGTAAATCTTTACAAGAGTAGATAGCCTCATCCCGTGGTGGTGTGACTGGTGGTTTCAAACTGCTGACCTTACAATTAGCAATCCAACATGTAACCCACTAAAAGGCAACATACATGATAATAATAATAATGAGATATTTGACTTTGTCAAAACCAACTTACAGTGGAATCATCAGAATGGAACCCCATCTTAAATTAGGAACTATTTTAATGAGTTATCTGAGCATGTCAATAAGTTATTTACAGATCAAAGCACGAGAAATACATTCCATGAAAATTCATGATGACAACCATATCATAGACTCATAATGCATGAAACAGAAGCCAAACTCCAAAACCCACTGAAGAGCCAAGTTGATTTTTTCCTCCTTAGGGTTTAGGCATCACATAACACACAGCACACATCCAGAGTTCAAAAATATTCTCTTTATGCCTCCCCTTTACCAAAGTCCTAGTCCTAAACATTTCTGCTTCTTTTCTTTTATGCGCTTGTTCATGTCCTCATCTTTTCTTTGTGGTTCTCCATTTTAAAAAATCATTTTATTGGGGGCTCATACAACTTTTATCATAATCCATACATACATCCATTGTGTCAAGCACATTTGTACATTTGTTGCCATCATCATTCTCAAAACATTTGCTTTCTACTTGAGCCCTTGGTATCAGCTCCTTTTCCCCCTCCTTTCCCTGCCCCCCTCCCTCTTGAACCCTTGATAATTTATAAATTATTATTATTTTGTCAATCTTTTACACTGTCTGACGTCTCCCTTCACCCACTTTTCTGCTGTCTGTCCCCCAGGGAGAAGGCTATATGTAGATCCTTGTCATCGGTTCCCCCTTTCTACTCCATCTTCCCTCCTCCCTCTCAGTATTGCCATTCTCACCACTGGTCCTAAAGAGTTCATCTGTCCTGGATTCCCTGTGTTTCCAGTTCCTAGCTGTACCAGTGTACATCTTCTGGTCTAGCCAGATTTGTAAGGTAGAATTGGGATCATGATAGTGGGGAGGTGGAAGCATTTAAAAACCAGAGGAAAATTGTATGTTTCATTGGTGCTACACTGCACCCTGACTGGCTCGTCTCCTCCCCGCGACCCTTCTGTAAGGGGATGTCCAGTGGCTCTCCATTTTTATTTACCTGCCCTTTCTCATCCTTTCTCATAGAGAATAGCCTGGGTTCATTATATTTTTATTGTGATGAAAATATAAATAACACAATATACATATCTGAGACATTTCTACATGAACAATTCAGTGACATTGATTATAGTCTTCAAGTTGTGGGGTCACTCTTCATAATAGTTTCACAACCATTAACAGAAACTCTCCTAAAAATATATATCTGCCTTTATATTCTGCTCCCTTGCCCTTGGTAACAACTAATAATCTCTGGTTTCTCTAGATTTCCTTATTTCATATATATGGAATCATATAACATTTGTCCTTTTGTAATTGGCTTACTTCACTCAGCATGTTGTTTTCAAGTTTCATTCTTATGGCAGGCATCAAGATTTCCGTTTTTCTTTAGGACTGAGAATTATTTCATTGTGTGTATGTACCACATTTTGTTTATCCATTTGATATTCTGGTGGTTTTCACCTTTGGGCTATTGTGAAAAGTTCTGCAATGAACACTGGTGTCAGGTTTTCTGTTTGCATTCCTGAACCATTATTATATCAGTCTCTATCTTACTATCTACATTCCTTCTAACTAAGATGCTATACCAATTAAAAGTATTGGAAGGGGGAAGGGTATAGCAAATCCTGGTAATGAAAATATTCTCTGTTCATCACAGATGTTTATCACATTTTTAATAAATGCATGCATGTAAGTCATCCATTTCTGAGGGATTTTTCCATGGGAAATGTTATTATGACTAGAATTGGAGCACCATCTGATATAGTGCTGGAAGATGAGTCCGTCAGATTAGATAGGGAAAAAAATACAATGGGAAAGAGTTGCCTCCTAGAAGTAGAGACAACCTTAATGATAAGGATGGAGTCAAGCTTTTGGAAACTTCACTTCCTGCTGGAGTGTGATTCAAATCGAGAAGAAATAGCTAGAAACATCCATTAAATATAAAAACATGGAACATCGGTAGTCAGAGGCGGCGGTGCGCGGACGTCCTGGCGGCCTGCGGTCTTCCTCCCGCGCGCCCGCCCGCCCAGCTTGGCTGGTGGGTCCGGCGTGCCCAGACAGCCGGCGGCCCGCACCCCGCTAGTGCTCAGCCCCGTGGGCGCTGCGCCCAGGCCCAGCGGCCGGAGCTCGCGCCCCGCCTGAGCGCCTGCTTGCTCCGCCGGCGCAGAGCCCGCGGGGAGACCAGCCAGGCAGTCCGAGGAGTGGCCGCGCAGGTGGCGACGCCGCGAAGATGGTCGCCAAGCAGCGGATCCGGATGGCCAACGAGAAACACAGCAAGAACATCACCCAGCGTGGCAACGCCGCCAAAACCTCGAGAAATGCGCCCAAAGAAAAGGCATCTGTAGGCCCCTGGTTATTGGCCCTCTTCATTTTAGTTGTGTGTGGCTCCGCAATTTTCCAGGTTAGTCAAAGTATCAGAATGGGCATGTGAAGTGACTGAACCCTAAGGTGTTTCCATTCTCCTGTGAATTTTAACTTGAACTCATTCCTGATGTTTGATACCCTGGTTAACAACAATTAAGTAAACCATCCTGCCTCAGAATGACTTTTCACACCATCTCTCATGCATCATTCCAAGGTCTCTTCACGAGTCATTCCAAGTTTTCTAGTCCATACCACAATGCCTTGCAAAAGCACCACATGAATAAAGCAATAAAATTTGGTTGTTAAGCTACAGTAGTGGACCTTACTTTTTCAGCCAGTAAAGAGTAAGTTTTTCTGTGTGGTTAAAACCATATGCAGTATGGATAATTATTTCAAATCTGTGTAGACTGGGTCTAGAATTTGTTAGCCCTAATATGTACATGAAATTCGTTTAATTTAAATTTTGTAGTCTATGGATTTTATATAGCTAGGCACTTTATTACTATCTTTTGAATTGAAAGCACACTCCCACATAGGGTCATGTAACTGTCTTGTAATTGTGCTTATAAATGGAAACAACTATACAGTTAGCCTAGTTACCACAACTGTTAGCACCTAAATATTTTTTAAAGGCTTCTAAATGCCTAATGTAAAGGGAGATACTTATAGCTGCAACATCTGTTTTAATAATACCATTTCTATTACACTACCTTGGATTTTGCATGAGTGAACATACTAATCTAAGATGCCATAAAGACAAAACAACTTGGTTGTTTTGTAATTGAGTCATTGCAGATTCAGCAAAAGCTACCATAGTGGAGCACAGTCAGGGAAGACAGTCACGCCATCCTTGATGTCACCAGAATTATTTGACTACATCAAAGGGGGTTACTTTGCTAGACAAACTTGTAGGGAAGAAGTCCTGTTAAAAACGAAAGCCTCATCGGGACGTGCTACCAAGTCCAATGCGGCAAAAGGCATCTCAGCATGCTCATAGTGCCTTTAAACCCAAAAATTAACAGTTACACTTGGTTTGGAAATGCTTTTTCTGTATTTATGATCAAAATGTCATAGGTTTCTAGATAATCAGGCTAGAATGACATCTGGAATCAAATGAGTATGCTGATAAGGATCAGTCTTTAGTCTTCCTTTGTTGTATGTTTTGTAGGTTAGAGACAGTAGATTTTCTTTTTACTAATGGTAGGTAGGGATAAGAGTGGTTGGTATAAAGCAGGTTTGGGGTTTTCAAAGACTGTTGAAAAATTCCAAGTATTGGCTATTCATGTAGGCATAACTTGGGAAAATCCTGAGGGGTGCCTATGTATTCATGAATTGGGGAGAAAGCTGCTTCTGTTTGCTTTGTCAATTGCCTCAGGATAGCTCTTAAAAATAAGCTGTTTTAAGAGGGGCCGAAGGGAAATCTACCTAGTGCCCACACAGTATGAACCTCATAGAGAGCTGACGACCCCTGAGTCGGGGGGAGGGCTGGGGAGGAGTGGTGAAGAACTTGTAGGTTGGGACCTTGACTACTCAGGTTGGCTAAGTTGCTCATCAGAAATAGGAAAAGAATCAGCTGACCTGTGGGCTATTGGGCTTCTAACTGCATTGTTATCTGCCTTTCTCATGGGTAAATCAACCCCTTTACATGTTTCCTTCCTTGAAACAGTTGTCTTGGTGAACTAATTCTATTTTATTATTATGACTTTAGAAATGAAACTCATTGCTCAAAGTTCATAGCAGGTGCCTTAATTTTTGCTTTGGATCAAACCATTCCATATCAGAATTTCTCTTGATTTACTATTAAAAATTGGCTTTAAAATGTTTTTTAATGTATATTATCTTGATTGATTTTATTTAAATTGCTATAGATGGCAATACTTACATATGTAAAATTGCATTCCCTTTGTATTTCACATGTAATTTACTAATTGAGTACCTTTTATATTAAGGGTGGAGTATGCATGTTTGGGTAAATGAAAGCGATGTGTTAATTTTGAATTGTCCTTTAAAAATAAAGTTCCCTGCATATTTGAAAAAAAAAAACATGGAACATATATAATATGAATCTAGAAGAATTTAAAATATCCATATTTTAAGCACTAGTAAGCTGAAATGGGCTGATATTGATCAGTTTGAATTGGACAACGATCTGGTTTACTGTGTTGGGAATAATAAATTAAAAAGAGATGACATCGCATACATCATTGACAATAACATTTCAAGATTTATGTTTAAGTACAATTCTAAGATAATATTTACACATCGAACACCAGATGATACAATTATCATTCAAATGTATGCACCAAAAACTAAAGCCAAAGAAATGAAAGAATTCTACCAACTTCTTAAGTCTGAAACTGATCAAGCATGAACTCAAAGTACATCAATAATTACTGGTTACTGGAATATAAATTTTTAAAAATCATTTTATTGGGGGCTTGTACAATTCTTATCACAATCCATACATACATCCATGTGTCAAGCACATACGTACATTTGTTGCCATCATCATTCTCAAAACATTTACCTTCTACTTGAGCCCTTAATATCGGCTCCTCATTTTCCCCTCCCTCCCCACTCTCCCCACCCTCATTAACCCTTCACAATTCGTAAATTATTATTATTTTGTTATATGTTACCATGTCCGACGTCTCCCCGCACCCTTCTCTGTTGTCCATCCCCAAGGGAGGAGGCTATACGTAAATTTTTGTAATTGGTTCCCCCGTTCCACCCCACATTCCCTCCACTCTCCAGACATCACCACTCTCACCACTGGTCCTGAAGGGATCATCTCTCCTAAATTCCCTGTGTTTCCAATTGCTATCTTTACCAATGTACATCCTCTGGTCGAGCCAGATTTGTAAGGTAGAATTGGGATCATGATAGTGTGGGGGAGGAAGCATCTAAGAACTAGAGAAAAGCTGTATGTTTCATCATTACTACACTGCACCGAGACTGGCTCATCTCCTCCCCACAACCCTTCAGTAAGGGGGTGTCCAGTTGCCTACCGATGGGCTTTGAGTCTCCACTCTGCACTCACACACATTTACAATGATATGTTTTTTT